AAGGATTTCAAGATTTCGTCAATAGTTTTCAAAAAGCAAAAAGAAAAGGAGTGATGACAGTTGGAAGAATTAAGCTATTCAACGATCGATTTAATACAAATTTTCAAATCTATAACCCTAAAGACAGTCATTTTCAACCAAGAAATGCAAACATAGACTTAGATTGGGTTTTTTACTTACACAAAGAACATTTTTGTTTGATAAGAAGAAATAATAAAGTTTTGGGTATTAAAGAAATAGAAGATAATTTCGATGAAAACGTATGGAGAACTTGTGGAGATGATAATGCGGTAACATGTTTTGCTCAGTTAAAACTAAACGTGATTTCACAACCCCATGATGATACTTTATTCGCTTGGGATTGTGAATCTTATAGCGAAAAAGAAACGAATAAAGCTATTCCTTATTGTTGTACTTTAGTCAATTTGGAAAAACTAAGGAAAAAACTAGAACTAACTAAAAGAGTATTCCCAGATTTAAAGTCAACTGATCCCATTCCAGAAGAATTTTACAACAAACTCATGACTAATATAGTAGAAATATTTGTAGGAACAGATTGTTTCGATCAGGTGTTGTGTCGTTTAGGTACAGTAGATCAAAAAAGACTAACCTTAATTTCCCATAACGGCAGTGGTTTTGACAACTGGATTGCACTTAAAAGCCTTAATAAACAAACACAATGTCCACTAGTAACAGATAAAACAATTCTATCTCTTCCTTTATCTAATCCATATACAGAAGAATGATTGCAGAAAAAGTGGAAAAGAAAACGTAGAAAAAGTTTACTCACATACACACCCTTTTATAAGATATTTTATCAGACAATCCATTAAAGGAGGAAGAGTTTCTGCTAACAGAAAATCATTTGAAAGGGACAAAATGAATGAGATTTGCGCCATTTTAAAGGAGTATTTAGAAAGGGACACTGAAGGAATAATAGATTTATTCAAAGAATACAACACAAGTACAAAAGATAAAACAAAAGTTCACGCTAAACTCAAAGAGCTGAACTATTCTAAACTGACTGATGGCATTTGACGCTAATGGGTTGTATGCCTCTGATATGACAAAAGGTGAATATCCTAAAGCAGAAAGTGCTAGAGCATTTTTACCTGAGGAAGAAGAAGAATTTGTTAAGCTCTTTAATGAGCAGAAATTCAGACCTAGAACGGCTATTTTAAAAGTCTGGTTTGAATATCCTACTAACATGTTCTTTTAACCAATACCTGCTAAAGATAAAATAACTTTTACGAATAGAATAGGTAAGAAGGAAACTGGCACTAAAATCAGGTTTAGAAATGGCTTCTGTTCAGACGTTTTAAAATCGGTTGACATTCAAGAAGTAGTTAAAGCTGGTGGTAAAATACTCGGGATATTAGATGGAATAGTCTATGAAGAAAATTTTAAAACTCCTCCATATAGAGAATACATTTCAATTTTGAAGGAATTTTTGTCTTAATTACAGCTGGTGTGGCTACCATTTTAAGTTTATTTCAGTGTAAGAAAATATTTGTGGTCTGATTCCAATTTTATTAATAATTTAATATTTGTAGTCTAAATCCAATTGGTCTGGATAATCTTGCATTTTTATATTGTCTATTGAATTGACATTTACGTCTGGAGAAAAAAGACTAGTGTTCCTAGATGATTAGAACTTTCTGTTGAAAATAGGCACATGGATGCTATAAAAACTTTTTGTTAATATTTAGCTCGTTTTGAGAGTTCTGTTGATTTGACAGCAGTTTGGAAGTTACAATCAGGAACTTTTTTTTCTTACCAGTTGCGGTTCTCAGTCGCAGTTACAGTTGCGGTTCTCGTTCTCAGTGACAGTGGGCTTGTAACTTTATCAATATTATTCATTGATTTCATGGTGTGAGAAGTAATCTTTTCAATGGTTTGTTGATTTTGTACGAAGTTACAATAAATTTAATATTTACCTTTGACACAACTGAGAAGAAAACAGACCAGAACAGCTTTAAATTCCATGATACTCCAGATTTTTCTGGAAAAACCAACGACAAACAATACCAAGGCACAAAGCGAAAATTCGAGTATTGCTTTTAGGCATATACATGTACATACAAAGTTAAGACTCACTTAGAAAACGTAGACAATGTGAATGTTAATTGAGTTGCATTATAATTTTTCCATATAAAACATATTTCTACATGAAATGATACGCTTTGTTTTCGTTTTGAAAAAATGCATTTAGATATATATATCTACAGATTGGGTACTAAACATTTATCTCCAATACTACTAACCCCCTCCTTAACTTGAGTAACTCGAATAAAACAATTCTTTTTAAGACTCGCATATAATCAAATGTGAGAAAACCCCAATCAGCATATTCTGACAGTCAATTTGTGCATATCACAACCCTGGAAATCGTTACTAGCGGGACATTGCTATCTGGTCTTGCTACACGAGTAAATGTAAAAAATACAGAATTATATATTTACCTACATGAACATTTCTGTTGATCAATCAAGTTGAAAAACAAATTATTAACTAAATATTCAAACAGTATATCATTCAGCAGTAATATACTTCCTTCAAGTCAATATATAAATATATATCATATTACTACACCTATTGGATTGAATTCTATTATATATTATGTATAGCCTTATAGAAAACTAAACAATCATGTTAACTGGGTAACTTACTAACTTTCTTCAAGTCTTTACACCCATTCGACATATGTAACATCACGATATCTCCTTTTATCTAATAATAATTGCTATGAATAGATTAAAATGTCTTACATGTAAAGGATATGTTTTCCTAAACAGTAGCCATAAGACACTGCCATACATGTCATAGAATGCACATTGTGTGAACTAATACTTCCAACTTTAAATCATACTTTTCATAGAAGACTTTGAATATTTTCTGTAGTTGAAAACTTTTAAAATAGCAGAAGATGCTTTTTCTATGACAGCACCTTCGACCCATATCACTGACAAGGAGAACCTGCATTCAATAACAGATATTCAACCTACGCAAAGAATGAACTCCCATTTTAGTTGGCAGAATGTGGGACTTTATAGTGTATATAGTTGTATACATGTGCAATTTGTCCTTGCTACACTGTAAACACAACTTGGATGATTTGCGCTAATACGAATGGGTGATGTATTTCATATCAAAACAATTTATTTTCAATATTAAAGATTCTGAACATCAGTTAAGATATACCTGTCCAATATCTGTAGATACATGTATATATTGACATAATTTGACATAATAACCATCACTAATAGAGCTATAGCTAAACTAAATCCTGTTAAAATACCAGCACCAATTCCACAGTTTACACGTCTGTAATCAGTAGTAAATCCAGATCCTGTTAGAAATACAGCTATACAACAAAATGGACATTGTATCAGACCGGTAATAGTCTAACTTAACAAATATTCGACTTCCACAGTAGTATATGGTTACTTCTGGTTTTAAGTTAGATGAAGAGGTTGGGTTGAAATGCTCTTAAAATTTAAGACTTGAATGCCTTATACTTTTATGAATATGCCAATATATTCCGTTATAGACATCATATATGATCACACCCATATCTCAATTCCTAAATAGAATATAATTCAGACACATCACCTTGTCTCGATGCTGTTTTAGATGTACTCTTTCGAACGAGGTACTGGTGAGACTTTCACCATATTTAGTACTAGCTATCATTAAATATCAATGAACTCTCTTTGATTCCCACCTGGTATCTGTGCTGTTTTCGGAAGTTCACTCTGAGATAATGTACCAGTTAAACTTTCACCATATTTATTACTAGCTATCACTCTGATAAAATAACTAGTATCTGATTCCAATCCTTCTATACAATAAACAACTCGACCATTATTGCAACCATCTCGTATTGTGGACGAATTGGCCCATGTTCAGTAGAATGTTGAACTATAAAACTTTGTGACGTTCCACCATTGTATCCTTTTGCCCATTCAATACAAATTGTAGTCTTACTTCTTAAATTTATACCTTGTGGACTATCAGGGACAGCTGAAAGATTCAAGTTTCGCTTCATTTACTATTTTACGGTCACAACCTGTTAATTACATACCAATAAATCATTAGAAATGTTTCAGATTCAAGTACTAAACTTACTCTCAGATATAAGTTGAAACTGTAAACTATTACTCAGTCGATCACCATTGGTAATATTTAAATAATACTGTCTGTACATCTCCTTTGATGTTATATTTATTCTTAACACAGATCTTTAACTGTTTATAAATCGCTGATATTGATAGCATTTAAGCCCTTATTGGCGAATTTAATCTTAAGAAAGGAGTTGCACACATGAGGAGGTTGATTAGGAACGTCTTTCGCAGATAGTCTGTAGCAAGCAACATCAGCAATAATGGATTGTATTCTATACTCAGGAGAGAATTCAGTGCCAGTGCCAAAAATTCACTTAAGCTTTCATCCCTAAGTTGTTTTAATTTCACTAGAGGTATAGAAAAAAGTTTAGTCTGGATATGATGCAACCCAAGTGGATGTTGTATGTGTTCAGCCAGGCCACTCACAGAAATGGCGTGCATTCGCGGTGGGGCTTCTATTTCTGCGCGACAGACAGGACTAGAAAGATTTCCCACTGTTTTTGTCGCTGTTATTTATTTGAGATCGATGGCCGCTAATGCGTTTATGGAAGATAAAATGAAGATGGGCAACGCCATGTAGGGTACAATGAGGGAAATTTTGTCAGGACAGCGGCATTAGCCTGCTCTTTTTCGATTTTCAACTGTCAGGGATCTTTAACGTGCACAGCCTGTAGCAAATAGGTTCATCATGTTTAGTAATATTTACTGTTTGAATATTGATTTAGGTTCACCACGATTGAATCCTAGAGAAGATCGCAGACTGAAAGTATCCGGTGAATTTTATAAAGATAATGGTAGTGATATAATGATTGTGAATCAAGAACCATATTTGGTCATCAACTATCAACGATATATTACACAATAAATAGTCAAATTCAAAATTCCTCCATATTTTGAAAACTTTTCTTACTAACTTCATTAACATTTGTATTTTGAACTTCTATTCCAAACAAATGTACTAAAATAGATAAAATAAAATAAAAACATTTCCCATTGGAGGTGAAAGAAAGGGGTTGGGTGTTATTTAGAGAAAAATGCACCTCTTGACAATGTGGTTCTCAAAAGAATGTGCTTAGACTTAGTCTTTAGTGGAATTCTCAGGTTTTCTAAATGGAAAAGGGCCACTTCTTAAGCAGTCAACAAGGATGAGCGCATTCACGGGCAACGACTTGATAGCCACTGCCCTAACAAACAAACTTACACCATTATGCATCAAATAAGACCTTCACGAAAAGTGAAAATCTGGGAGATGATAACTCTCTGGAAGTAATGATGACTAAATACCACTTGAACTAAACAATTCAAGTATGTCATCAAAATAAAGCAATCACGGTCCCTACGAAAAAAACAAAGTTGGCAGACACCACAATTTTGTGTATTATAATTTTTTAAATATAAGAATAACGTTATTTGATTGGTCCGATACCGGACTGATATTTATATGAGAGGTGAACGGGTCACACTCTCGGCTAGAGGCACCTGATACCCGCAAACTGGCAGAATTCCACTCTGGGAACATGGATTCTTAGCTTTAGCATTGCAAAATTAACACACATAGCTTGAATTTTTTTAATCCCCTGAAAATTTGAGAAAGTGAAACGATAAGTACTGATAGACCATGG